ACCTATTAGTAAATACTAAGTTTATAACTTTATTTAATAGTAACTAGAGCTTAAGATATATTAATTTCAGAGATATAACTATTAGAGAGCTAAATATAAGAATCTAATTATTATTTATAACTAGTTTCACCTTATAGAGAATATAATTATAAAATATAATATTTAATTAGCTAATATATAGAACTTTAATAAAACCAGCTTTATAATAGGTATAATTAAGTCTAGGATAGTTATTATAAGCTTAGAAAGGTATAAAAGACCTAAAAAGGTATAGCCTAGAAATTATAAATAAATTACTATAATTAAGGCAATTAATATAAAAGGCTAATTAATTATGCTATTTATTATTAGTTTAGGCCAATATTACCTTATTAATTAGTATTAAGAATATAACTTACCTAGTAATTAGGTTATTATATTAAGTAAAAATAAATAAACTAATAACTAGCTAGGCCTTAACTAGCTTAAGTACTTTAATTAATTAATAAAAGATTAATTAGTTAGTTCTTATTATCTCTTAATCCTTAATAGTTATAAAAGCCACTATTTAGCTAAATTTATAAGATATTATAAGGAAAATAAGATTATAATACTTTATATACTTACTTATGCCTCTTATTTACTTTAGCCTCTTAATATTAAATACTTTAAGCCACTAAAAAAGGCTTATAGGTAAGAAATAAAGCATCTAATTAGATACTTTATAACTTATATCTCTAAGACTAAGTTTTTTCCTGCCTTTTATACTGCCTACCTAGCTACTATTACAGAAAGTAATATCCTTAGAGGGTTTAAAGGAGCCAGGCTTACTCCCCTTAACCTAGAAAATATTATCTTAAAGATAGATATATAGTTATAAACCCTAATGCCTCCTATAGAGGTCATAGTACCTTTAACCCCTTAGGCTTTAAGGACCCTAAAGATAATACTAAAGGCCTAATTATATTTTAAATACCTAAAAGTATAAATTATCTATTATAAAAGCAGCTCCCTAGAGTTAATACTTAAAGCTATTAGGTATTTTAAAAAGGAATATAAAACCTTTTTATATAAGATATTTATATTAAAGGAAAGGGTTTAATAACTTAAATAAGTAAATAGGTTAATAGGCCAGCGCCAAAGAGGGAAAAGAAATAAAATACAGAAAGAAGGGCCTTTAATTATAGAAGATGCATTATAAGCAATTAATCAGATAGATATTAATATACAGGTAGTAGCTAAGTTATTAAGAAGTAATAGTTAAGGAAGTTTAGGTTAGCCGAGGGTTTAGTACTATAGAACTTATGGCAAGGCTAGGCATAATATAAGGACTTATTAAGAGGAAATTAAAGTTAATATAAAAGAGTATAGTAATTAATTTTAATTAATCTAATAGATTGTAGTATTTTTAAGAGTGATTTTATCTTATAGGTAATAAAAAGTATCTTACCTACTTATCTATCTTACCTACTTATTAAATACATTAGATATTATTATATTATAGTAAATAATATAAACTTTATTAAATTATATAATATATTTAAGTAAATATATTATAAACCTAAGTATTTATATTAATAATAGGTAAAAATCTCTTTATATCTTATATTACTATGAATTTCAGCTTATTTTAACTTATTATACTGCCTGCCTTTTATTTTACCCTAGAGTATTATATTATATCTTTAGGCTTTATAAAAGTAAATTTATTAAATTCAGTCTTATATTATATTTACTTTTTTCCTTAGTATGCTCTTTAGAACTAATAATTATATTATAGCCTTATTAATATATTTATCCTAGCTAATTACTATTTTAGGCTTAAAATTAAGTTTACCTTTTTAATAGGTCTTATAAAGACTAAATTAGTAAGATATATATAAGGAAAAGGAAAGAGTGCCTTAATTAAAATATATTAAAAGGCCAAGGAATCTAATAAGTCTCTTAAACTTATAAATATATTATTTTTTTATCCTATATATATCTTATTAGAATTAATTATATTAAAGCACTATAGCACCTCTATTAATCCTAACTAAAGTTAAGAAGCAGTAAAAGCAAGATTATAGCAAAAACTAATATAAATAGTTATATTATTAAGGCCAGGCTTAGTGACTTTAAGAAGCTAATAGCTATAAAAGTGTCTGGCTGGTAAGCTAGGTCTATTATACTGCGGCTAATATTACTAATTATTAATAGACCTGTTAATATAGCTCTTTTCCCTTTTTATTAATTTATTTATAGTGTTATTTCCTAATAGGCTGTTCCTATAAATACTCCCTTTTAGGTAATCTTATTATATTATTAGCTGGCGGCTAATATCTCCTATAGGGAAACTTGGATTTTAAAGATGCTAGTCTTAGTAATAATACTTCTTTATATAATTACCTATTTATAGTAAATATATTATTAGCTATTTTAGTTATATATTCCCTAAAAGATATAAGATAAATAAGAAGTATATTTTATATTAAGGCTAATAAAATAGAAGAGAAAAAAATATTAAAGTGAATAATATTTAAGTTTATAGCTAGTCTAGGATATTTAAATATAAATAAAGAGGTATAACTAGTAATAAGCTATCTGCAGAGAGACCTAGCCTTATTAAAACGCGAACTTATATAACTTTGTATATAAGCCTATTATGCCTACTAATACCTATTAAGAATACCATAGGCTGCATTATCTCAGTATAATAGCCTTTTACTCCCTTAAATTAATTTTAAAAATTAATACTTTACTTAGGATACTTTATGCCCTACTTAAAATAATTTAGCAACTTTGCCTATTTTATTATATTAAGCTATTAATATATAAAAGGTAGTAAGTAACTTAAGGCGAAATAGGTCTAACTCCCTAATATCTAAAGTAACTTTAGACTATGGCTATATTCCCTTTAATACTAATAGTAACTATAACTTCTATATAGTTAACTCTTACTTAGTTTTACCTAACTGCCTATTAAAAGAGAATCTAAGCCTTCTAATTAATCTTTCTAACTAAATATATATATATCCTTATCTTTATTCCTTTATTAATTCTTTTTAAGCCTAGGAGATATAATATGGCCTAGAAATCCTTAAATCCTAAACTGCTATATATAAGTATATCTTCTAAATATTCTTTTTTACCAAGTATTATTATAAGTCTGGCATCTAAGTTCTCCCTACTATAATATATAACTTATCCTAGATATCTAATTAAAAGCTTCCTTAAGTTTAGGTTTATATAATAATTATAATTATATATAAGCTTATACCCTTAGAGAAAGGGCAGAGTTCCTTTAAGGTTTATTACTGCCTCTTAATATTATCTTTAATAAGCGTTTTGCATATAAAGCTGCTAACTACCTATACCAGTAAAAGGCATTTCTTTCTAATAAGCCTATTAAGCCTTTATCTTTCTATAAAACCGAAGCCAGCCTGGAATACGGCCTAGTCTGCATCGAATGGCGGTGGGATATTAATAGCATTTAGTTTGGGCCTAAGAGCCTTCAGGCTGTTTGCAAACCCGGCATTTTCTGTTTATTATTTATGCCGCCGTTTAAGCGCAACCTGTCCACGGATTAGGTAATCCGGCTGCATGGTCTTGATCTTGCTACTACTTGATATATTCTATTTGGGTTAGTGAATACATCGGGGATTCGCTTTGACGTATATCTATTCTTTCCTGGGGCCTCTAAAATATCTGCATCTTGGAACGGATTATCTCTGGATTGCTAAAAGGATCTCTATGATAGTATAATTATTCCAGCGGCATTTAGTAGTATCTCTGATCCTCTCTGTTAAGAGCTCCCTGGATCTTTTGATATTGCCTATGCAAAGTCTCGTTCCTTTCAGGAGCGGCCTGAGACGGGTAGATGGAGAGCAGGAGATGATGGTAGGGCTTGCTACTTATAATATACGTTGCTGACCGATGATCTTGGACCGTTCTGGTCGTCTATCACTCAAAGAGCTAACTCGTTTTGAGTCTAGACTAAGGCTGGAAATAGTGTTGCGTACTTTAAGAATCCACAGTTGCTATTTCAGGCCTATGATCTTAAGAATATCTTTGTAATACTAAGCCTCTATGAAACTATGGGACTTATTTATGATACTGTCCTCTCTGGAATGGATCCTGAGCAGATAGACCTGCACTCTTGCTGGTTAGATATCGGAATGTGTGACTATGTCCCTGATTGACTATGTGGTAATGATAACAGGACTGAACCTTTCATGCTACTATGGAAAAGTGATTGCTATTAATATTTACACCGTAGACTTTCTGAGATAGCTCCCGATACGCCTCTTTTAGCAAGTTACTTCTGATCTTTTCTTCTTTGAGATATTGGAATATACTATTGTCGGATAAAGGCGAAAGGAGTCGATACTCCTGGCTGCCCCCGGAGTCGCGACCCTGCCGTCATCCGTGCCAAGGCCTACAACTGCAACAAAGAACTGTTCTCAGTTATGTATAGCAACTATCGTCTGTTTGGATCCGGATACCTCCCCTTATTAGCATTTGATGATGATATGATCAAAGATCTCTCTTCTTCTAGCCAGAGTTGCGAACGGGGTTTAAAAACGCAGCTGTCCCGTGGTGCAATTTTGAAGGCCTGGAACGCGAATAAACGACATTTGAGATCTATGTCAAACCCAAATATACTCTCCAATTATGGGATCCGAAAGGAGGTTACCTTGCGTTTCGATATCATACTGGTGATGTGGGCCAGCGGCTACTTCCGAGCTACACATGAGAACATTATTGGGCCACTTGATTAGATAGCCCTTCTCCAGGGTGAATCCAATGTTCGCTATTTACCATTTTGGACGATTCTCACTAAAGACATAAATGCCCTAATATTCGCGCAGGCCGCTCGCTTTGTCCTGCCACTGGACCACTTGTTCTTTCAGGCCGGTACTGGCTTGTCTGAACAACGCGCGCAGTCTGACGTAGCACAATGGTATGTTCAGAGAATTCTAAGCTTCTACACAGCTCAGATGCTTTGTTGACTCTTAGTCCATAGCTTCGTCGGCGAGAAAATGCTGAGCTACGATCAGTGGATATGGCTGGCACGATGGACAGTTACAAACAAATCATCTCGCCATCGCGAGGAGTTGATCGAGCGACAAGGCTTGGGACTAGAGAATGTTGTGAAAACCTCTGGAATGTTATGGATCCCTCCTAATAAGATGGACTGGCAGCGTGGCTATCTTGCACTTGACGTACTCCTTGACTTGTACATTCCGCGAAGTCCTTTGCATCCTCGAATCGCCTCTCAGCTTAACATTTAAACATTGACTGTTTCTAAGATCAGTGTTGATGTGTTTTTTCAGAACTGGCTCAAGGAAGCTTGGACGGCGTTTGAAAGCGATTGAAACCAGGATGCGGAGGAACTACTGGAACGAGCGTTCTCTCTTGCAACGGAAGAGATCGCACGAGCGTACCATCAGCATGTTTTGTTGAAATTGCAATCGTATTGGGAGCGAGATCGGGCGAGGATCGGCCATGATAAGTTACCCCCACTTTCACGACTACAGGAATGTATAGAGGACTCAGCGACCGAAAACGGCCAGATTGTGACCGCCCAGACAATATGGGAGGTCTATGCCGAGGGATGGTCTCTCTATGCTGAAGTCTGCGCCGACGCCGACCCGAATAAGTTACCGCAAGGACTGCCCTACTGGATGACTACACGAACGTACGTACCGCCTCATGACGGCTGGTCATATTTTGTGTTCTATCATCTTTTCCATCGAGACAAAACACCGTCATGGAATCATCTTCACTTCCTTCGACTTTACTGAGCATTTAAGGAGTCTTGGAAGGCGGTTCAGCAGTACGCGGGGTCATTCGATCGCCGTTTCCGTCGCGTAGTAGGAGATTTTATTATGGTAACTCTCAATAGCAGTCAAAACACCGAGGTTGTTACTTATAAACACGATAAATCTTGGTATCAGGGGAAGCCGGTATTCTTCAAGATTCAGTTTTAGGCGCCATACTTTTCTCCGCCAGACAACAACAGACGTATACCGTGGGAGTGGGTTCGCGACCATAAAACCCGACACCCTGGTATTGCACTGGATACGAAGTCTAAAGACATGACGGTAGGATATTTTCACGGTTTGGAGAGCACAGTTCGGAGGTTACTGCAGATATACACATATGAATCAGGTCGGTTGTACAGTGCCACACCGGCACGTTGTGACTCGATCTGTTTCTCTGCCCTGGATTATCTATTGAAACTCGTCGGCCCACGATGGCCCGCGAAACATGGGCCGCCTTACCTGCTGCCTTGGCATCTTCCTATATGGAAAGAGAGGGAGGGGGAAGAGAGGACTTTCTTCTTTTGCCCATTCCAGCAGGAACTGTCTTGAAAGAGTATAAGGAGATCAAGCACTCACGGCCGACGCTACTGCTTCTAACTCAATATAATATAGCGCGGCTACTCGACTTTATTGAATCTTTTCCCGACCTCTCTATGAGAACTCTGGAGCAGATTAAATGGATGGATAAGATGCTTGATAATAATAAGGGTCAATTTACTCTTTGCAGCCACCTCAACGTTAAGGCTGAAGCGACGGCTGAAAATGATCGAGATGATTCGTACCTACGACGCTTCCTATTGCAGGAAAAGCCCCCAGAGAGGATTATTCAGGGCAGTGATTGCGCCTGGGATACCGATCAAGGACTAGAGTGTTGCGTCTCCACAGCTCTGGAAGACAATGATTCTTGTAGTGACCATTCCTCTGAGGAACTGGATTGAGCACTTCCTGTATCACATTGAAAGATCAAATGTCCATGGTGTTTACAGCAAACGCTTGAATGACCCTTCGGGTAAGAACCCATAGTGATCGAGGCGCGACCTTAACGTCTTACAACGCCGAGTTGTCTTGGACTATAGGAGCAAGAAGACGGGGTCAAAGCCGGCGAGCGAGGATGACGACTATTACCCCGTATTTCGGCTTGATTTCGTTAGCATTATCGGCCTACCGCGACGGCTAATCTGCCGGTCTAGTCACTTCTTTGATAACATCACCATATCCTTTTGCTATTAGAGTGCCCTATATAGCGTAAAGTATGTGCAGGGCATTGATTTCGACCTAAGCGGCCGTACCTTCTGCATTGCCACCGGCGCCACTTGAGAAGCTTGGTTCATTGTTATGCACCTAAGCCAGAGGGCTGCTGGCGCTAACAACCCCCGTCGACGACATAATATAACACATACAAGGACCGCCCTTGTATAAGGCCGTGCTCTAATGCTTGTATTATATATTAAAGATATCTTCCTTGAAGGCGAGCTCCTTGGTAAAGGTGTTAAGCCGAGATAGGCCCTCGGAGGCAAGGAGATGCAGATAATTGCTTTTAATAAATAGGTTATATTCCAGATACTATTTATAGACGGCTAGATAGGGTTTCTTAAAAGGTTCTCCATATAAGATAACACTTTCTAGACTAATTATTAACCTGCCTTCCATGCGTATAACTATGGCGCTAATATTAACATAGAAGTTAATAAAGATATAGTAAATCTCAAAGAAGAAATAGTTATTAGGCCAGCCTATCTCGATGGCCTGGATAATAGGTTTGATAAGTCTGATAATGGTTATGATAGAGAAAGTAATAGTATGCCAGCGATATAGCAAGGATAAGGGGAAATTGGAGAAGAGGAACGAGAGGATAAGCTTAACGAGCTATGCGACTAACTAACCATCGAAGTGGAGGACAATAATAGCCTATTCGTGTCAGAGAGGGTAGATGATATTACTTCTCTAATACTACCTATCCTTAGTCTAGGGCGAATTATTAATGCGGAATATTAAGATATTAATAGCGAAGTCGACGTGAATGGGCCTAATAGTGATAAAGAGCAGGAGCAGAGGTTCCTTAAATAGATAAATAAATCTAAGAATACTAATATAGGCTAAGATAATAGGACTTAACTATAAGATTAGAAGTATTAATATAATAGGCAAGATAACTCCTAGTAATAGCCATTAAGCCTAGATATTAATAGTAATAATAATATTTATCTAAGGTAACTATTAAATATCTTACTAGCTAGTTTACCTCCTTTATTAGTATTAATACTAATAATAAAGGACTAAAAAGAATATAATATATTATATAATCTTAGCCTAATGTGGTTATATAAGGCCCTTAAGGCAAAGTATAACCTTAATAATATTAGCTATATCTCCTATGCCCTAGCTATTAATATTTACTATACTATAGAAAATATATATCTTAATATAAAAGAAAAGATAAGTTATTTTATATACTTACTTACTAATTATAATTATATAGCTAAGGAGTTTTATAAGAGTAATTATACCTTTTACCTACTTAGCTTCTACTTTGTATATAATAACTTTATATTAAATTATCCCCTTGCCTTCCTGGATAATAACCTATTTATTATTATAAAAGAGAATATAAGTTACTAGAACTAGGATACTAATATATTTTTATTTAACTTCTTCTAGGGCTATTTTAACCTAAAATAGTCTATTTATTATAGCCCTTATGACCTACTAGCTAGCTATGGCCTTGCTATAGCTATACTTATTATTCTCTTAATAGAGGCTTAATATATAGCACGGCTTAAGAATAAGTAGTAATAGCTCCTGGCCTAGGTAAGAGGGCAACTTATACCTAATAACCCTAGTATATTAATACCTTTTATATAGGAGTAATAAAGGGTGGAAGTAGTTATATAAGTAAATAAGTTTTTATTCTAATTTAAGTAAGTTATTTTTATTAATGCCCTATAACTTATATACTACTGTTAAAACTTTAGTAATATATTATAACTTATTTTTTAGCTTATATATTTCTTTCTTAAGGAGAAATAGCTTTATATAGATATCCTCTAGTATTTTAACCCTAATATCTTTCTAGGAGTTATAATAGCTTTTGCCAGGGTTATAAAAGTAGCTATAGTAAAAATAAACTATTACTTTTATAAGGCTAGGTTAAAAGGACTAAGTATAGCTCTCTCTAAAGGCATTATTACTCTTAATTAACTAGGAAATTTTTACTTTACTAAGGACCTAAGGGTATTATATATTAAAGTTATAAGGCTTCTTAGTATAATAAATAGTCTAAAAATATATAAGTAGCTATTTATATTACTATAAATATTAAATATCTAAGATAAATAAGGACTTATTAATCTTATAAAATAACTATAGCTAAGTAATAAATAGCTAATTCTAATATATATTACCTTACTAAAATACTACTATAATAGAATTATAATATTTAACTAATATAATTAATTATAGTTTACTAAGCTTAGGGGTTAATTAATAAATAGGATAAATAAAATAATAATATTCCTTTATAAGGTATTTTAAGATCTATAAATACTAGAGATAATTACTTTTATTATTTATTAAGTTTGCTATAACTTAAATTATAATATCTATAGTAGTAATAGGAGTAGTATTAGAGATTATAATAATATTAATATAAGTAATAAGGAGAGTACTTAGGTAATAATTATATTAGAAGCCTAGGAGGTATAAGATAATCTATTTAAAATATTATATATACTAGGAGTCTCTTTAAATTCCTTAGCTCTCTTAATATTACTATAAAAACTTTAAGAAACTATTAGTAGAAGTACTTAAGTTTAATAACTATTTAATAGATAAATTAAAAATTATCCTAAAGATATAATATAACTTTATAAAAGAGATATTTATTACCTTAATAGAGGGTAATAAGAAGGGCTACCTAGAAGTTAAATCTATTATATTAACCTACTTAATATAGCCCTTTATTTTCTAGGCTGCTATTTAATATACTAAAGGCAACTTTATAAGAAGGGCTTAATAAGTCTTAGGCATTATAGTTATTATAGTATTTATAAGTATTAAATAAGTACCTAGCTCTTATTACTAGAAATTAATATATTAGCAGGTAGTATAGCTTATAAGAGTAGCTATATTTATAATAGTCTTTATAGCTTAGCCTAATAGCCTTAAGAGATAGGCACTAAAGGCAAAGGCTTATAAGTCTATTAATTTAATTAGTATTAAGTAAGTAAAGATTTAACTGCAAATTAACCTAGGCTATAAGATATTATTTAAATAAATCCTAAATATTATAAAAAAAGGCTTTATAAAGATATATTAGCTATTTATAAAAGGGGACTAATATATATTATTTTATTACTATATAATATATTATTATCTAATAAATTATCTTAAGGACCTCTTATATAATCTTATACTTATTTTTATATTAATTATTATAATATTTAATATAACCCCTAAGGTCTAGCCTAATATAAAGGGCTTTAATATAATAACTAAGAGAAGGAATTTAACTCTTTTAATAACTAATATAATAATAAAAATACTTTAGTTCCTATAGCTAAAGGTATTTCTATAGGATAAAGACTAGGATATAATACTATAGGTATTTAAAATAATAAAGAAAATTAATAAGTTATATTTATAATAATCTTATTTAGTATTAATAAAGTAAGATAATTAATACCTTAATAATTTATAAATATAAAATATAAAAGGGTTAATAATTAAATACTTTAAGAATTAGGTTAAATTAAAGTTAAGGGTAATTAGGATAATTTATATAACTATAAGTTATATCTTATGCCTAAAGATAAGCTTTTTAAATTATATAATAACCTAATATTTCTTATAAAGAAGCCAAGGACTTTTATTAGTAATATATTTAAAAGTAATAAGGAAGAATAAGTAAATTAATATTTAGCTATTATTAAAGATAAGAAATAAATATAATATTATAATATATCTATCTAGAAAATAAGTACTATAAAAGCAAATAAAAAATAAGAAGTTAACTTAAAAAGAAAATTAAAAAAAAACCTAAGTAAAAAGCCAAGGCTTTAATAAACTAATATATTAAGGTATTATATAAAAATAAGGGTATATTATATAAGTTCTTATTTAGGTAAGATCTAAATTAGAAAATTAAATATTAACTTAAGTAATAAGGTAATTAAGCCACTTTTGCCTCTCTATAAGGGCTATAGGTATGCCTAAGGAATTTAAGGTTTTAATAGGGTTCTAGTAATAATAGGGGTAATATAAAAGAGTTAAGGCTAAAAAAAGTACTATAATAAGAATTATTAAAAGGCTATAAAACCAAAGCAGCCCTCTATAAATTAAGGTAAATAATTTCTTTACTTTTAATAATATACTAAGACTTTTAATAATAATAATAAATACAGCCTATAACTAATAATAACTTAAGCTTGCCTAAGATAGTAAAAATAGTAAGAAAATAATAAAAAGATAAAAGTAATAAAAGTAGGGTTTATAAGGATAACTTAAATAATAATATAATAAGTAATTTAAGTAACCTAAAGGTATAATTATTTTAAATAAGATATAATAATAAGTAATAAGATTAAATATATTAACTTAGCAAAGGGCCTATATATAGTATTAAGAATAATTAGAAATAGGTAAAAGGGGTTAGGGTTTATTATATATATAAGTTTATATTTAACCTTAATAAAGAGCTTTAACTTTTAGTTTTAATTATACTAAGAAGTATTTATAATAAGAAATAAAGAGGATTTTTACCCATAACCCTAACCCTAACCCTAAAGCAAAACCTTAAGTTTTTATTTAATTAAAAAAGATAAGAGGCTAATAAGTATTTAAGAGGGTTAAGTAAAAAAGAAAAAGGAAGTATTTAGCCATTACCCTAAGCCAACTTATAACCCTAAGAGGTTACCCATTACCCTAACCCTAACCCTAATGT